CTAGCTGCCTTCCCTCTAGTCCACTGCTAAATTAGGGACGGCTAGCGCAGATAGCCCTCGTGTAGCTTTGCGCGAAATTCAAAAACAATGACATATTTATCTATTTTACGTTTTTATAACTTCTTACCTTTTTTCTCTACAGGTGCCGCTGGTAAGACTTTCACTCCAAACTGGTTTTTGTTGAGATCATTTTGAATCCTTTCGAAAGATCGACTTGCCAAAAGCGGGTCAGATTCTTTTGAATCCGGGTGGAACTTCGTGATAATGCCAAACCCCAGTTCGCCATCGCCGTCCGAATTTTTATATTGTACAGACATTGTGTAACAATGTGATGAAATGATCAAAATATCTCTATACCGGGATCAAAAAAGATATGAAAAAATTCTTCGATGTCGGGATCAATAAAGATCAAAATTCTCTATCTCTCTGTACTTGGTAGAATGCTGTCTAATTACAAAATTCAACAATACACGTATTTTTTCTTCATGCTGAAAATAAAGTACACCTATTTCAGTTTAAACTACCGATTGATTGTAGCTTTTAGGAAATTTTACTATCTTATTTAATTTTAAAACAAAATAAAAACCGGTATGAGCCAATTGTAGACTAAGATCGCCGTGTGGACAAAAGAAAATCTTCGTTTCTTGTATAGGAATTTAAAAATAAAAAAGGAAAGATTGAAATAGACGGCAAGAACTAACTAAGACTAAGTTTTTCGAAGTTGTTAGTTTTCAAATAAGTGAAACGAACGTGGTGGTCTGCGTAAAAAGGTGATCCCAAGAATTAAATAACCCAAGTGACGTCACACACTCTCGCTCTCAGGAACTCTGTATTATCCACTAAGCAGGATACAAGATTATTCTCAGATCGAAAGTATTTTCATTCAACCGTGAAACCTTTTTGGCTGATTGGTTGTTTCTCTCACTGCAGACGAACGCTAAAGTTGGTCACGTGGTAGCCACCAATATCAGAGAGAAAACATATTTGTGTTGAGTTTTTCATTCTCGTTATTTCACCGTTTATTGATGCCCTCCGTAAAAACGTCCTAGAGGAATATGTGGAATTGAGTTTTGCACCGAATCCTCGAGGAATGAAATGTCAAAATATATTTCATCTCCAAAAAAACAAAAATACTACATAGCTTGAACCAAGACTGTAAATGATAATTAATATATTATATTAAAGACGCGAAAAAAGTGTATTACTGCATGATCCAAGGCTGTAAATGGTAATTAATATATTATATTAAAGACGCGAAAAAAGTGTATTACTGCATGATCCAAGGCTGTAAATGGTAATTAATATATTATATTAAAGACGCGAAAAAAGTGTATTACTGCATGATCCAAGGCTGTAAATGGTAATTAATATATTATATTAAAGACGCGAAAAAAGTGTATTACTGCATGATCCAAGGCTGTAAATGG